AGGCATAGTAGCACCCTGCTCCATTTGCTAATGAAAGATAAGAAATCAAAAGGATTTAACGCATACAATGATATGAGGCACTGCAACATAAAATGTAAAGGCATGCAGCCATGCAGCATTATTTGCTGTATTTAAATCCTGTGGACATACTGAAAACTGCAGCTGTGTGAACCAGATACCAGTCCTTCCTTGCTGTGCACAAATTCTGTATTCTTGGACTAGTATCAGATTCATCAAACTGAGTCCAGGATGAGAAAATGAAAGAAAATGAAAGAAAATGCTCAGAAACCTACTGTTGGTGAGGCAGGCTTTTATTTTTTTTTTCTTTTAAACAGACTCATCTGCACCAGTTTCTCAGAGTAAATGGTATTAATCACATTACCACAGCAAGTCCCACAGCAAAGATGATTCATCTGATCTGCTGACAAGGAAGGCCATCTCCATTCCTGCAAACCCTACTCTTCTCCACACCACTTAGTTTCCTATCTTGTGATTTAAATAGAACTGGGACTAGATTGCACACCCTTGATACAGAAGTCCCACTAACATTTCAATAACTGTGCACCACTACGCATAAAAGCTCCTATTAGTGGTCTCTGAGTGCTGCTGAACATGACACAGCACTAAACTGCAGCAAGCGGACTGGGATTAGAAATTTCAAAGCCATTTAGATTCCTTAAGATGCACTGTCATAATCTGCCTTTGGGAAAGATCTGCCCTCACAGCAAAAGCTAGCGTGTTAGCAACGTCCTCCAATTCCCACAGGCTCTCCTGCAGCCTAGTTACAGCTACCTTAAGCCCTGTTTCAGCATTCTCCACTGTCTATGCTGGATTTAATCACAATAAGCACCCCATGCACCCTTCCCAGGACAGCCAGAATTGGGTATTTGTAGACACTTTTAAACTAAAAGTATACAGCAGAGCTTTCCTTTTTTCCAGCATCTTGAGAAATGGAGCAGTCAAAAGACAAATAAAAGATTTCCTAAAGTCAAACCTGCACGCCACAGAAGTTAGAGACTGATCTGCATTCAAATGCAAGAAAAACTCTGTAGGCCAGCCCATAACTCTACTGTACCTATTAGTCTCATACTCTAAACTGAGACTGGCAAGAAACACCAAAATTTGCATCTGCACTGCAATTACTAGCAGAGTCCAAACAATCCCAAATGCAAGATGCATAAGGGATCCTGGGTCCTCAGTGTCTCAACCTTTGCAGCTTGAATTCAGGCCAAAGCAGTCACTGGTTTGAATCTGAACCCTCATCTGGAGTCACCAACTGCTCCTAAGTGTCTGCCTGGAGCCCATCTATACGACGTTCAGAGTAACTGCACATGCCAGAACTATCATGGACCCTTGCACACTTCTGCCAAAACTCTATCCACTTCACTGGAACTTAATTTGGCCCAGAGTCTGAAATTACTTAATTCAAACAGCATCTTGTTATAAATTTGCTGGGAACTATCCCCCAGTTGTTTATCAGCAGGAAGACAAAAATTTAAAATACAGTTTATATTTTCCAAGGCCAAGAATTGCTGGCTGTAGAGTAACACTATTGACTTGTAAATAAACAGTAAAAAGGAGGGTAAATCTATCATGCAGGATATACCCCTCTCATAAATACTCAAATTATATCTGAGTAGCAAATAGAGAGCAAGCAAGGCTTCTGAACCACTTAACACTTCAAGTGTTCAGAGAAAACCTTGGATATTGTTAGTAGATAAAAGATAACAAGTTGTGAAATGAATATCCTTTCATTTCCCTTTCACTTACTTCACATTACTTGAGATAAGAGTAAATTACCTCAAATGCATCCCTTATTGAAAAAACAAGGATATGTTTCCATACCCTTAAAACATTTATATTTTCAGTTTACATTTCTTCCCTTCAACTTTTGTCTAAGATGCATATAGTACCAATATTTTCCCTCCTGTATCCTGTCCTCAAGAAAAGCCTATAGTATACAGAAAGCAAGTGTCAAACAAGGAGAAGGTTTGGGCCAACTCTATGTATCTTGATTTTTTACCTTTCACTTGATCATAGTTTCTCCAGAGTTCAGAAGTATTAAGATGCAAGTGTCAAGTTAATGCACATGAACAGAATGCTTTGAGCAAAAAGGAAAGCAGCCTATGGGTAAACCACAGTATTAAAATATCTACGTATTTCAGATCATATTTCAGGAAAGCTCGTAACAGCTCGAGTTTGTCAGTAAAAAAGGCATCCAGCAAGTAAGCAAACTCAACTATTTCAGAAGCCAAAGACAAACTCACTGCCAATTTTTTTGCTTGTAACTCCCAACCAGGGATTCTCCTGACTGAAATACTTTGTTAATTGATAGCGAGTAATTTTCTACTATAGAAGCACTTCATCTACACAAACACGAGGTGAGCACAGGACACTGACTCTGGAGATGTCACCCTTAAATGAGTTGACTCAGGTAGGCTTCCCTTCCAACTTCACAACACTGGTTGTCGTCATTGTTGTTTTAAAAGGTGTTCCAAAACTTCACTGGTTTGAAAATACATACTAAGAGAGAGAAATTGCAAAGGAGATGGAAAAGGCTATACTATTGCTCTAAGGCAAGATAAATTGAAGAAAAAAACTATGCTCCGACTGTTTTTTATATTTGTAGTATTTCCGAACAAAACCTTCAATCTTTTGTGAAAGATAATTTCCGATCAATTGGTTCTAATCAATTATTTCAAAACCAGTGATCGAAATTTGTACAAACCACAGGAAGATTGCCAGTAAAGTATACACCTCACCCCTGGTAAGGCTGTTTTATGAGCTGTCATATTCTGCAAATCTCATCTAGAACGAGCTGTGCCTCTGAACTCTTTAACAATTAGATGAAATGTTTTGCTACACTTTCACTGTAATTCAAATGAGATGAAAGTTTAAGTGAACCAAAACTTCAAAATGCCACTCTATTTATACCAATCCTTATATTGCTTAAAATACCCAAGACCACTTCCAGCAAAAATTTCAATTGCTGCAAAAACTTAATGGGCCTTAACATTTTATATACCACAGAGCCAAACACGGACAAACTACAGGTTGATTTTATTTAGAATACTGTAGGACACCAAAAGAGCACTCCAGGGTAAAAAGTTCCCTGCCGCTAATGGTCTGTGTTTGAGCTGACAGCAGTGACATACATATACAGGGTGAGAATTCCTGGAGGCAAAGTCGTGAAACAAATGAAACACTGTCTTCAGAAGGGGAAGGCACAGATTCACTGGTAATGTCTATTGTGAATTCGCACACATACATGCAAAGAAAAAAAGGTTAAAAAGCAAACTAGGCTGAAAGTTAGCTTGAGGAATACAGAAGCTGAAGGATGAATTTAGGATACCGTCAGAAAACAGAGAAGGAAATACATGCATGCAGAGGGGTGAAGGAAGGAATGCCCAGAGAGATGGACAACTGTTACTTGGCCAATTGGTGCATGTGTCATTATATTCACACTTGACCTGGTTGCCACAAAGAAAACTCCTGAGTCCTACCTAGCCCTCCCCTTTCTATGAAACCATCAGTTACAAAACCAGGTCTGTCACTACAAAGTTGACTAATACAGAAGGCACTTCATACTTGCATTAAATAGATAGGAACTGATTGAGTCTGCACTAACACATGAGATTCAGCTGATGGGCCACTAGAAGCGGTGAGCAGCAACCCATTATTTTTCCAGCATCTTCCCTCTCATTTGTTATTTTTAACTTGCTGTTCTAAGAAAAGAAGTCACAGACAACTATATCCTCCTTCTCCATTCACCGTGTTCAATACTCATATTTCCTTATAAGCTTTGTGAAAATCTGTTTCACAGGGTATACTCAGAAGTTATTCACACTCACTGCCCTTCTGGTCCATACCAGAAGGGTCCATACCCTTCTGGTCCCTTCTAGTCCACATAGACTACCCATCCACCTGGGGGCTGCTGTAGCTCTGGATCTGCCATAGCACTGATTTGAGAGAGCCCCGCTACTAAGGAAAAGAGCTAGAAAACACAGAGGCAAAAAATCCAAGGAACTGCAAGGAGATGCCATTTCATAAAGGCTGAAGGGAAGAAGCCAGAAAAGCAAGAGATACTGCAAGGTGGAAGGAGGGAGGGCAGCATACAATGATGTAAGATCCCCATCCCAATGCAACTAGGTTGTATGAATTCCATTACTGATGGAATGACTTTTTACTCATTAAGAAATTCACTTTAGATAGTCTGTTGGTGTCTGTTCTGATTGTTTCTAGGACAGAGAGATTCGTTAAGAGGGTTAGATAATGACATGTCCATAAGTCAAATGAGTCAATGTAAGGGTGTTTCAATGTCTGCATAAGGTCACAAGCAAAGCACTCAGACTTCTATTACCGGTGCAATAGCCGTTCAACTTGACCACCATAAAGCAAGTTCCAGTGGCACCATGTGCATACAGCAGCCAAGTTCAGGCTTATCATGACCCATCGTGAGTCAGATGGGACTATGAGGGCTTTTACATAAATACATCACCTTTTACCAGGAAACAAAATGTTTCCATGAAGAAAGTGTAAGATTTTTGGTTAGAGCAGCCCTAAGACTTGAGAGCAAATTCACAGAACTCATATTTCTGATAATCCTGCTTGACAGAATTCATTAGCCAACTCAGGAGTCCTGCAGTTTATTTTGATTAGGATGAGAAATTTATAATATAACCAATATCTCATGCAATTCTGTTGGCTAACAAAAAACCCAACACCGAAACAAAACCCCAAACCACAAAAACCCCACCAGAGTTGCCTTGAATGCAACAGGAATTAAGGTAAAATGAGGTATTTTCTTTACTCACACAGTGCCAAACTTCTTTTCTAGCTAATCCAAAAGCATTTTTTGGCTTTTCTTCTGGACTAGACTGCCAAGGATATTATGACTCCATCCAATGCTTTAAACACAGCCCTCTCTCACTGCTTTAGTACTCTTTCTACCTTCTCTCACCCATATATCCAAGCCTTCATAAAATCATACGCAATGAAACCTTCTGCCCACTTGCACCCTGTGCTTGCTCATGTTTGAAGTGGAAGCTGCTCTCGCTCTGCCATCTGTTCTGTAAAAGAGCATCTCTGTTTCCTAACGGTTTTCCCAGATGAAGGGCAACTACTGTTTCCCCATCGGCAGCAATAGTTTTAGTCCAATTCAGAACACTATCTAGTAGCAAAAATACAGGGCAAAAATACTGCATTACAACCTGAAAAAAAACAACCAAAACCAAATGTTTAAATAAAGTTGCCTGGAGAACAACCCAAAAGACTCTGAAGAAGCTAAGGTCTGCCCTGTTTTAAACCCTTTAAATGGAAACTTTTGATGCTAAAGAAAAGTGATAGCATGAAAATGTTTATGGTAAAAGGCCAGCTTAAAATGTCCTGGCTCAAAGGCCATCCAAGGCCACCTGCCTTTGCCTTTTTTAAACATAAATCGCCACGCTTTGTTCATTTCTTTTCAATGCATAACTGGAAGTGCAACCCAGTTGCTATAATCTGGGAATAAATTTTATTTTAAGGAAGTGTTTCAATTTTGAGTGTCTGATCCTACAACTTAAGTCCTATACCAAACAATCAATTATGAAGGGCTTATTTTTTTTTCCTGCAAAACAACTGCTCTTCAGGTGCAGTATTGTGGTGTTTCACGCCCATATGACCTTTTTTCTCTCTTGTTCAGACCACTATCTCTGTTTAGCCTCAGTGGCTTTCCTCTCTGATCCACAAGCAGTTATTATGGATTCCTTGCAGTAAGTGTTTGTATTCTTTGGTCCCTAGCTGTAGACATTGGATTTTTTTCTTTTTAAAATTTTCTTTGAAAAATTCTGATTTGCTGTCCATTTTTAAGGTCAGGCTTACAGAACATGCATAACCTACCTGTGCTTGATATAGCTTGTTAAATATTTTATTTTATTTGTGTTTTCATTAGCTGGATACAGCCCTCTGGGGCACTTTTATGAAGGATGCTTTTGAAATGTAAATGTGATTGATTCGATATTACAGCTTATATTATTCTACTTGCACAGTGCCTTTGGGAACAAGAGAATGGAGTTTCTCTTTTTACTGATGAAAAGGTCCTATGGTAGGTATTTTCCTCTCTTCTATACACAAACACAAAGAGCCTACTAATTTCTAAAAAAAGTTAGCAGTGATCGTATGCTCATGCCAACCAACTTTTAGTGCTTCTTCCATTTTCTGAACTGGGTTTGATAACAAAACCAATAAATTTGATACTCCCATTTAAGTGGCAAGTTAAAATTTACACATGATGCAGACACAGTCCCACCTTTAATAGATCAAATAGTACAAACCACACTACTCTTATCACAGTTGCGAATGAAAAGCGTGTAAAGCAGTACAGGTAAGTGGTCTAGAACATGCTGCTCTATTTGTCATCGCAAGAGAAAAGGTGCAAGAGCAAAAGAAAATTTTGCAAAACCCTGTGATTACTTACTCATGCTGTAAGAATTATTTTACTACCTTTAAAAAGTAGTTAAATAAATGGCCAATTTCTTTATGTAACACCAAGTCCTTTAAGAAGAACGTATTCCAGGAGAATATTCAAACATCTGGAAATGATGGGCTAGCACACTCCCATTTGAAACACTGTGTTCCACTTCTCCCTGCCCCCTAGGGGGTGGAATGGACATAGTAAATGTATTTCGCTGTAGTTCTACAATGAAATCTTCTTCCGGTTCCAAAGGAAGCATATTTGTACGACTTCTACAACCTATCGAATCCCAACAATTTTGCAGAAATACTTTTGACTATAATAAACAATGGAAACCATTCCAAAATAGTGATGTATTGTCTTGGGAGATATTAAAAGTAAAGCAAGTAACTAAGAAGCTATCTTCATTTCACACGCATAGTATTAAAATACACCCATAAGAACAAAAGGCATTTGTGTGAAATTTAAGCAATATTAAGTGTGCAGTTTTTCCAGCGAATTGGTAAAGCTCAGAAGATGTAACTAATTAGAACAGAAGGCTGCAACAGTTAGACTATTTCAGGAAGAATAGTTAAGGTACGTTGCCATATGGTTCTGAAAACTCCTTTAATGCAATCCAAATAGAAGAACATATGCATATACCCCTGTGAGTTGCCCAAGCATTAATACTGCCTTTTAACTCAGCCATTTAGTACAGGCACAACTGTTACTGAGCTGCATGACTTTAGACAGTGAAGGTAAAATTAAATTGAGAAAAGATTACAAAAGCTGTGAAAACAGCATAAATCAAAACAAATTAAATATTCACCTATGTGTTAGATGACACCTGATTTTCCATTCTGCTGAAACAGAGCACAATGTATAGCAATAAACTCTATAACTTCAAAGGAGTTGAACACATCTTTGCACAAACTCACACAGTGGTTAGGACAGTGTGGTCATGCAACGAATCCTGAGATAACGGACATAATCTGTCTAATATCTACATTGCAAAGCTACACGCTCAAAATACAGAAAGAGCCACAGCTAAAAATCACTTAGATAAAAGGGCTTCATGTTTGGAAGTACCAGGTGCCATCTGTTCCTCTTCAAGTGTGCTCCCTGAAAAAAAATCAGGAAGAAAATTTTTGAGTTTAAGAAAGAAGCTGCAATGACATTGAGGAGTCTAAGAAAGAAGTAGAGTTAGAAGCTGAGAAGATAACATTTGAGAGCTTGACCAACAAAATTTGGTTGTCATTTACTTCTTTGAAAATGCAAACTCTTCTTTACTAATGAAGAAGCAGCATTGTTGAAAGTTAGTCTTGCCTTTAATGAAGGTGTTGCACTATTGATATTGATCCAGAAACACCACCAAATCCAAAAATTTGGCTCTTCCTCTGGCAAACTATGAGGGAGTCTGGACCTCATTTAAATACCGAGGCTTAGTTCAGTGCCTAACAAATAAACTGTTCATCCTACTACCCTGAAAAAAAAAAGTAATTCAAGAATGATTAGTTGGAAAACCTTATTCTCTCTTCTGCTGAAGCTATTCTTACCCACTGTGTCAAGATCTATCATCGCGTACACTCTTTGCTACTTATTTTTACCCTTGCACTTAGCATGTTTTGGGCATCCATAATACACAAAATAAGCTCTTTTATTGAATTCAAAAGAAGAATGGAAGAGTATTTTTGCTATTATTTATCAAATAAAACTGTCTCATATCCATAATCCCTGGCTCATCTCCTAGGAGGCCGAATATAATCCCCTGGGAGGTTTCAGTAAAAATGGAACTATGCTCCAGTTCTGTAACTGGTAATTGCCTTCCACAAGGACACTGTGCACAGGAATAGCTGTTCTGCTCATGCCATTGGTGATAGGATAATGGCCCTGTAGTCGTATCTGTTCCAGTTCCTGAATCTTAATCACCAGAGGGCTGAAGACACTCCCTTACTTGTGTATATTTTACAACCAGTCAATGCAAAATTAATTACTAATTCTCCCAGTCCTCCAAAAGACATTTTAAAAGATTTTTAGACCTATACATTTTTAAAAAGTGTCCTCCATTGATCTATGTCTCTGCCATAGATCTGTGTGCTGCTTTCTGTTCTCTTCGAAAACAAGGTACCTTTTCTGAATCCCAATGCCTAAATGTATTCATTGACATTTAGTAATATGTTTTACTACTCTGGCCTTTGACTACGTTGTATTGCAACTGCCTGGTCATCCCATAGTTTCCCCACAGGTCAACGACACTTCTAAGGAGGGAATAAGCAAAATGCTATTTGAGCTGATGGTATCGCTTTCTTATTGCGATGCCTTTGAATTAAAGGTTGTGAATAATAGTAACAATACAAGGCAGCCCATTGCTTTTGGTGTCAGCTCCCTTCAGAAACTGCCTTATTGCTACCAATGAGGCCACACTCACAACAATGGGCTACAAAAGAAAGCTGCGTTGCCATCGCTTTTAAGGAGACAATAGATTTTGCAGAAAATTAATTCTGAAAATAATGTGGCTGCAAACAAGATTTTCTGAAAGCTGCAGCACTTATTTTGAAGAAATCTATGTGAGAACGAATACACGGGGAAACTGCAAAGAGCATTATCTTAAGAATCATGCTTTTATGTCACTTTCCTGATTGGTAACATTTAGATAGTGTGAAAAATAGCTATTTAAAAACCCATACTTAAATGTGTAAGATAGATACTCAGATATTTTTATAAACCTCATCACTGAAAATTCTTACTAGTAGAACTTTGCATCATTGAGCAGTCTTCCAAGAGAACACCATAAATATTATACAGGAATTTATGATTTATTTATCTTTACGCCAACTGCTTTAGAGACTATATTCTTATAGCATGTTGAAATCCAGCCATCTCTGTAACAGAGAATCTAGTCATCCAGTTCCCAAAACCAGTACTTCATTGGGAGAAAGCAGATGGAAAAGGTGCCAGAACAAACATTATCTGGAATAAAAGGTGTCATAGGGATGTCAGTTCTATAAAGAGAAAGATATACTTAGAAAGGTCTCATCTGAAAGCCTTCAGTTTTATGGGAACAGATGCAATGAAAATACACCATGAGGGCACACGTCACAGCAAGGTAGGTAGTTTATATATAGCGATCAAAGCTTTCTTCCTTGAAATTAGCAGAACTCCTATAGATTTCCATAAGGACTGCATTTCCCTTCCCGTGGATATGTTTCAATAGGGGAGACCTTAAGGAAGGGTGAATAAAAAACCTTCTAAGAGGAAAATGCCTCTTTTGAAAATAATTATTAAAGGCCCTTCTTTGCCTTTATATCCTTTTCTTCCCCCCTCCACAGAAGAAATCAAAATCTGGTTTTTATTTTTTCAGATCAGCATTGCCTGTTGTTACAACTGTACCAAAGCTGACTGATTAGCTTTGATTTTTTGGTCAGCTATTTCCCAATCAAGAATCTACGATCTTTGTTCTGACAAATAATGTAGACAAATTAGCTGGACATCAGTTACCTCAACACACGTGTCTACCACCATTTTACAATGGTCTCTAGCTGACTTTCCAGGAAGGCTGCATGATACCTACCAGTTGAGTGTGCATGCTTTTCTTGTCCCAGAACACATGAAATGGCATGAGATACCCATGTTGAAGCAACTGAATCCCACTGTTCAGTACAGACCTGCCCAAAGCAGGAAATACTGTATCAGTCTGATACAACCTATTCCAAATTCAGCACCTGGGTCAGACCAAAGGAAGAGGAACCTCAGAGCTTTAGGTACTTTTGGATAGAGTTTAATTCCACTGTGTTCTTAAAGGACAGATTCCCCAAAGATGATATTGAGCTTATAGATTTAAGAGTTGTGTATCCTATAAATTCACTGTACACTCGGTCTTATATATTAGTCGCTGCTATTTTGTAAGAGTAGATGGTTATAATAATAGTATTTCATGTTGTTTCACAGTTAGGGAAGATAGAATAATCATTTGGGAATCCACAGGGGGGCAGTGAAACCAAGTAAATGCTTTGCTATTCAAATTCTGGCGTGAAAGTAAAATTTTTCATCAAAAGTGCTGTTATAGATTTTTCAAAATCTCTTTAAACAGCTTTGCTACAAACTCTGTCATAATACATAATAGTGTTTTCTCCTGACTCCCAATCATTAAATTAATCACTGAATTACCTAATGATTTCTCAGTAATCTTTATGATGCTTCGCACATTCTTTCTGCACCTGATTTGCCTTTGTGTTTTATAAGCAAGTGATGGCAAGGAACTATTTAAAAATATGCATTACTTAAGAAAACAAGTTTGATAAGAATAACAAATGATCGGTTCCTGCTGGCAGGAAAACACTGCAACAAGTTACAATAGTTTGACTGAAAGTTGAAGTGAAGTTTGGATGACAATACTCAGAGTTAGGCAGAAGAAAGCTGGGTGAATTAGAAAAGAAGGGAACACAAAATCTCTCAGTAGTCAGGGAGTTTCTTAATGTCCTGTTCAGAAGTAAGCTCAGCAGCTCCTTGAAATTTGAATGTATGTTTACACTAAACACCAAGTTGCAATTTGTCATGTGTGTCTTAGGACCAGAAAACTCCAGCATATTCTTCCAGAAGAGAAACGTGTTAAATCATATTTCAAAATATTTCAAAACCTGTTCTCTTAGACTAGGGAGACTCTAGTGCTTTGTACAACTAGTTTCGGTGCATCTGATTTACTTCCACAGAAATCATTCATCTATCAGCACGGAAAACATAAATGTCAAAGCAGCTAGAATATATGTGCACCAATAAAGTAATCTATTATGCTTTTCTTTTTTCTTTTTTTTTTTAAACCACCAAATAGAAAAAGGCTTTATTAACCTTCACTAGAATTAAACATGTTTTTTTTTAAACCAAAAGATAATTGGGTGACTTCTACCCAGGAGTCCTTTGGAGGGGACAGTGAGCCTAAGCTGCAGACCAGGAAGCAGAAACTGCCAATGCTTTTTCTGGCCTTGGCAGTATCATATAAACTTCCTTGCCTCAGTTTCTTAATGTGGGATCATAAATAACAGTGTCATAAAGCTGATGATCTATGAGGTCAACTTATTCCCATGGCTAATACTGTCAGTAAATTTAGCTATAAAGGAGTTCGAAAGGAATTATATGTGTGAAGAAATACACATACACACACACATCCTGGGAGAACAGATGATCCACAAAAAAGCACAAGTCACTCGCATCCTCCATTTTTTCTAGCTGCTCCCAAATCACTTTATTTCACTTTATTCAACTTTTTCAACCATCTCAAATTCATTTTCCCCGTTAGCTAGTTTGACTAGATTAAAACAAACAAGCAATCAAAAAAACCCAAAACACCACACACCACACAAAGAAGTCTCTGCTCAAGGTTTCTGTGTCTCTGAAAAGCAAAAGAAAAAAAAAAGGGGGGAAAATGAAAAGGAAGAAAGAAAAAAAGGAAGACAAAGTAAAAAAAGAACATTCCCCAAATGGAGTAGCTCTGTGTGATGAGTTGATAGATGAAGTTAGAAAGCAATAAAGAAATCCACCTTCATCGACTACGTCACAAGAATATGGCTCTAGCAGGGGTGCACCATCAACCATGCTCCACATCATTAGGTGTTCCAGTAACAGCCACATGCTGAAAGGTAGGAAATTTGGAAAAGAAAAACAGTATGATCTGACCACTTGGGAGAGCGGTGTGATTGAGAAGCGCCTGAGGCCAATGGAAGTTCATGTTCCTTCAGGGGAGACCCCGTCCACCCGCTCTTGTTCACAGACTGCACACATGAAGCACGGTCTTGGTCAGACTGTTAAGTGATACCACAGTCCTGGTGCAAGCCCTCAGCAGAACCCCCTGAGGAGGGTCTGTAGGATTATATCCTATAATCCTGTAGGATTATATCCTACTTGTTCACCAACAGAAAACAAAAGATGGACCAAAAGATGAGGCACATAGTAGGAATGCAAGACTAATAATATTTTAGAAGTGATCTAGAGTTGAAAATTTCAGGGGAAAAAAAGACAAAAATCTGTTGTTTGAATGAGGAACCTTTATCAACATTTGCTCTGACATTCAAAAGCAAAAAATAGTAAAAACAGAAGTTAGACAGCAAGTGTATAGTGAACAAAAGGACCCCACCCCACAAAAAATATTTGACTATCAAAGTTCCATTTACGTCTGTGCAAGTTAGGCAACTTCATATTTTTGGTCCAAAGTGTTTACATTTAAACAATGTGGTAATCACAATTCAATCTCTTCTAGGATTGGTGGTGCTTGTAAAATTCTTAGTTGGTGAGGATGCCGAATTTTGTAGTAGACATGCATGCGTGTGTAATACAACAGATGTTAAAGAAAACAAATTCATACACAACAGGTATAGCACAGGCCAGAATATTTATATGCTGCAAAACAAAAACAAAGTAAAACAAAATAAAAAAATCCATTATTTTGCAGAAGACATTGCAACTTTCTCCTATACATCCCTTCTTTGTGCTCAGACAAAGGACCAGTATGTCCAGCCCAGGAAGCCTGGGGACAGAACATGAAAATCCTACTACAGGCTAGGGAGAAGGAGCCCAAAGGCACCAGA